CTTTCTAAGGTCCCACGGGGAGATGTCCGGTCCCATTGCCATTGAGGTATCGATGTCCCTTAGCAGCTTCTTCATCTCCTCATTTGTATTTATGTCATCCAAAACTTGTTGGTATATTCCTTGCTGGTGTCCCCATCTGGTCTGTCCCCCCAGAGGCCTTCGTGTCTACACTGTAAATACATCTTTAAATTTCATGTTGAGCTCACATACCTCTTGATCGTTTCTTGTGAGTTCTCCTTCTTTCCTTAGCCTTATCACCTGGTCTTTGACTGTTGTCTTCCTCCTAATGTGGCTATACAGCAGTTTCAGGTCAGACTTGACATTCGATGCTATGTCGTTTTCGTACTATTGCTGGGCCTCCCTCCTTATCTGTGCATACTCGTTTCAGGCTCTTCTACTAATCTCTCTATTTTCCTGGGCCCTTTTCCTCCCGTACCTTTTCCATTCTCTGGTGCACTTAGTTTTTTCCACCCTACACCTTCGGGTGAACCAAGGACTCGCTTTGGTCTTCCCATTATTTCTATTTCCCTTGGGAACAAACCTTTCCTCTGCCTCCTTGCACTTTGTTGCTACATATTCCATCATCTCGTTTGCTGATTTTCCTACCAGTTCTCTGTCCCACTGAACCTCCTGCAGGAAGTTCCTCATACCTGTGTAGTCCTCCCTTTTATAGTTTGGCTTTTCCCATTCAATTCCAGTTACCTTCTCCACTTGTAACTCTACTATATAATCAAAACTCTCGTAAGTGATGTCCTCAGTGTCTGAACTGCTCAGGGTAAACACAAGATCCAGTCTTGCTGGCTCATCCTCCCCTCTCTCTCTGGTAGAGTCCCTGACATGTTGTTGCATGAGGTTTTCAAGTACCACATCATCTTGGCTCTCCATGTTTCGGGACCCCCGTGTGGCTCTAGGTTTTCCCAGTCGATCTCCCTGTGGTTGAAATCGCCCATTACCAGTAGCTTTGCTCTGCTCGAGTGAACTTTTCTTGCCACCTCAGCCAGTGTGTCCACAATTGTTCTGTTGTTTTCTTCGTACTCCTCTCTTGGCCTCCTGCAGTTCTGTGGTGGGTTATGCATCACTCCAATGACTACTTTATGTTCTCCAGCTGAATTGTACCTACTATGTAGTCCCTTTCTCCAATCACGTCCATGCCTTCCATTTCCTCAAGTCCCCATCTGTTTTTTATGAGCAGTGCAACCCCTCCTCCCCCTCTACTCCTTCTATTTTTCCTCAGGATCTGATATCCCGTTGAGAAGATTGTGTCTTTTATTGACTCAGCGAGTTTCGTTTCTGTGACTGCTATGATGTCTGGGGATTTCTCGCCGATTCTTTCGTGCCACTCCTCATATTTATTTGTTATTCCGTCCGCGTTTGTGTACCAAACCTTCAGCTTTTCTATCACTGTGGTCCTGCGAGAATATTGGGGTTGGGGGAGTGAGAGCCTTGGTGGGGGCCTATGGGGGGCTGTGGTGTGGGTGGGGTTTGTGATGAGGGGATGGGATCAGAATGCCCATAAGGGGCAGCTGTTGGGGTGAGGTTTGTGATGTGGGGGTTGGTGGCAGAGGGAACAGTGTGTGGGATTTGGTTTAGATTGCTCAGTTGCGTTGCGACTGTCGCGGTTGGAGTCTTTCTGTGGGAGTTTCTGCTGGGTGTGTGTGTGTGTGTGTGTGTGTGTGTGTGTGTGTGTGTGTGTGTGTGTGTGTGTGTGTGGTTTTGTGTGTGTGTTGGTGTTTTTATGTACTTTACCCACATTCACTGTCACCCAATTATTCTTGTCTCCTCCCTTCTTTCTCATTCATTTATCCATAAACAAGTCGAGGGCTAAATATAAATCGACTCACAATACGCAAGTTATTATACTTACCAATATACAGTATATACATGCATCCTTAATTACTGTGAGCGTCTAACCTGGGCTAAAAGAGATTATGCCTTCAATCACTGCTCGTTTTTACTTTGCTAGCTGAGAAAGATAGCTTTTTCCCAGTTGTCTTCCTTTGATCTTACCTACCACTCGGTATCATGGATGCATTAGTAGCGTATTATTATTGCTTAATATTACTATATGGAGACGGAATGTATATATCTGTAATTGCTTTTCATTATGAGCAGCACTTTGCTGCTAGATTCCTGAACAAGATCAAATTAAATGAAAATATTCACTCTAATATTGCAACCATTCAAGGCGGTGCCTTGATGCTATTATATGATCCAAGGAATTTTAACTCCCATTTTTCCTTGTAGGAACCTGTTTTCTTTTTATTCCACAAGTTTGATATGATAATATTGCTAAAACGAATTTCTATCTGTTTCACTGGAAACAATGGGGCAGATAATATTGCTAAGTTTGTGTGACATGTCAGACAATATGAATAACATACACAAGTTTAACTGTTATATTGCATTCAAGGTTTCTTAAAAGTCACATCTCATTAGAAAAGAATTAATAAAAACTATATTTTATTTACATGTCATTTTAAGAGCGTCAGTGGAAATTAAATTTGCAGCTTTACGGTCCACTGGATTGGTCGAAATACTGAGGCCGGGTGGCCTGGTGGTTGAAGCTCTCGCTTCCTTACACCTGTTGTCCTGTTCACCTAGCAGCAAATAGGTACCTGGGTGTTAGTCGACTGGTGTGGGTGGCATCCTGGGGGACAAGATTAAGGACGACAATGGAAATAAGTTAGACAGTCCTCGATGATGCACTGACTTTCTTGGGTTATACTGGGTGGCTAACTCTCCGGGGTTAAAAATCCGAACGAAATAATATCTTATCTATAGAATTGCATGTTCAAAGAATCTTCCAAGACACTAAAACTAACATCCTCTTCCACGTGCCTAAATTAAAAGAAATTTCTAATTACCAGGCTTCAAACACCTTTTTATTGTAATAAATAAGGGAAGGAACAGCTTCCGCCTGCCCCAAAGCCAGTTTAACATGAACCAGTTAAAGAAGAGTGCCAGAAGGGTCTGTGAATGATACGAAAGGGAGGGGAATGATTTTTATTTTTTAGGTCTACTGTAAATTTATTTTATTCCTGTAATGCCCCTCGTATTGTAGATAGTCTTAATCCCCCTCGTGTATAATTTTTTTTTTGTATGATAATAAGATGTATCTTCATTATAAAATAATAAAAAAACATTTAACCTTTTAAAATAAAAATAAGGTAAGAGGCCCCCAAGGAAAATAAGCATTTGTCTGATTTTTTTGGGGTTATCCTAGGTTCCTAACATATGCTCTATGTTGAAATTTTATGTAATGTTTTTTTAACCTGAAAAAACTTACTTACCTGGTTTTCCCAAAGGAAAAAGGCTTAAAGGAGCTTGCCCAGCGCGAACGAAAAAAAATATTCAAAAAAAATTCACAAGTTGAGTTAATAAAATTAAAAAAAAAAAAATAGGTTAACTCTCGGCAACACACGGACCAAATCATTGTTCTACGACTTTCCTAAAGGGAAATTATGGTCTTTTTAAAACCTGGGTGACGTCACCACCGCGACAGGTCTCCCAAACCCTTTTGTAAATTTTTTCATGTTTTTTTTCCGATTTTTTCGTGTATTATTCTGTCCAAAAAAAAAGCATTTTCACATGTAAATCACATATAGTATTTAGTCCTTGGGCCTAATAAAATTTACCTAAAATTTGAAATATTTTAAAATAAAGAATTAAACTAAGTTGCCCGAAATCCCAGCCCCTGCTAGGCGTTCTTTTGTGGGACATCTGTAATCATTATTTAACCATGTAAACCACACAACAACCCAAATTCTGTAAATTAACATTGAATCTTTTTAGAGAATAAACTTTGATTTTGAATTGAAAATAATAATTGACAATTTGGTTAAGAAATGGGGGGGACTTATTTGTAGACTTCAGCCCCTCAGGAAATCCTGGGAACATCTTGGTTTACGTCAGCAGAAAAAATTTTAGTCTCGGGGTAGCCCTGAAATATGCTTCAATAAAGCTATTATCGCTTCTACGGCTTTTTTATCTATCACAAATTTTCTATTTGACAATAAAAAAAATATAAATAACAAAGAAATTGGTAAATACTCCAGAATGAATGTTATGGGATATTCTTCGACCGCTCCCTCTGGATATAATATTTCTTAGAGGGTGTTTCCTTTTCTTCCTATCACCCCAGATCCTTATTTAAAAAAAACGGGAGTGGTAACTTGAGTACACTGTTGCAGATAAAAATGAGAAAATGCTATTTTCTCAAAAAAAAAAAAAATCGGTTGCCCCGGGTGTCAAGCGGATTTTTCTCGGGAAATAAGTTTTCACATTTAATTTTTTTTTTCTGTCATTAATAATGATAGGAATGCAATGAAATTCACAAACAACATAAAGGAAAGATTGTTTTACAAACTGGTGATTATCATTTTGAGATATAATTTGTTTTTTTATTTTTGTGAGGGTAAAAGTCAGATATTTGGCTGAATGTCAAAACCATACAAACTTTATTTTTTTACGGATGAAGATAGGATAAATTACAGCAAAGTTCACCATGATAAATATGTACAGTTTAGCATTGTTTTATGCGTAGATAATGCCAAAACAGCTTCTCCAAGTCCCACTTTGACAGTAACTTGCAATATGTATGATTACAGTGGACCCCCGCATAACGATTACCTCCGAATGCGACCAATTATGTTAGTGTATTTATGTAAGTGCGTTTGTACGTGTATGTTTGGGGGTCTGAAATGAACTAATCTACTTCACAATATTCCTTATGGGAATAAATTCGGTCAGTACTGGCACCTGAACATACTTATGGAGTGAAAAAATATCGTTAACCAGGGGTCCACTGTATTAGTAAATTTTTTTTCTCAGTTATTTTTTGAGCTATCTTATTGAAACTTGGTCACATTAACATGGAAAGGGGCTTCTTTACGTACAAAAAAAATTAAAGAAATCGAACGAAAAATGAAGTTCAGGTGCTAACTTCTAGCCCCTCCCCCTTATAGATCAGTTTACCCCACAAAATGTTTAAGGTCACTCACTGATGTCGACGAGAGGGATAACCTTGTTCCAGGAATCAGAGGAGAAACTAGAATCCAACAGCTGTGTGACGGATGCCCAGTAACAAGCACCGTTCATGTAGTAGTCTTGATTTATGATCTGGTTCTTCCATCGTGGACTACAAGTCTGTTTTGAAGAAAAGAGAAGATTATAACACGGAGGCACTTAGTCAGATTGGAGCTTTAGGCGGTTATCTGATAATACAATTGATAATAGTACTGGTGCCAAATATTCCTAGCAAACAACGCCACGAACCAACATGTAAACAACGCAACATTAGATAGGAGGAGATATGTATATTTCAGCCTTGCAGTGAGGTCCCTTTCATACAGCTCACTATCGATGAAAAACCTATACACAATTCATCTTCAGTTTTACTGTCATTACTTAGGTTAATTTATATCATTACCTAGTGCTGATTATGCTTTCCTTTACGAAAAACGCAAAAATGTAATTATACGTTTTAATCAGTTCTGGAGCACACGATTTTGTTATGTATGTAGAAGTTTATTGAGGAAAAAATCAGTATTAATAAGATTTCAATGTTTATTAAGGATTTTTATTCTACAGCCCCATATGTAGTCTTACCATGGATATAAAAAAAATACATATATCTTTTAGGTCTGAACTCAATATAATAGAAGTCTGTTGTAAATGCAAAGTAGGATTAAAGTATATTATAGTATAGGAATTATACAGTGTCTGTCTAACAGACCTTAACTATTTGGAACACATTTGAAGCATCTGGTGATCCAATCAAATTGTGATTGATTCATATGCTATTCTTTTAGAATAAACTTGAAAAGAAAGAAACAAAGAGAGGGTATGAAAGAGAGAGCGAGCGAGAGAGAGAAAGAGATTAACATCAGTTCTCACCACGACTATTGGTTCGGTAACATCCTGTTGAAGTAAGTCAAGAGAGCCTCCCAGCCAGCCATAGTTCTTCATATCTTTGTAACTTAACGGCACATTTGTGTTATCGTTGCCTGTATCAGAGAAGGGAAGGAAGAGCAATAATTACAGTAGTCATCCGGAATTATCACATAACAGAATGTCAGTCGTACAATACTTTTGTATTAATTATGTGTGTCAGTATCTTATATGTATCACCCCTTGTTCATCACGCTAGTGTCAAGTGACTTCCATTTGAACACAGCCCGGCTGGCCATAGGCTGAGTCAGTCTTGATCAGGCAGGCATACACGGCAGACGTACAGTCTTACCCACCAACATAACTATTGCTCCCTAACTTTTCATTTGAAGATCCCTCCAACAAATGGTGGAAGCGTGTGGCCCGAAATTCCACCGAATTTCGTGAAGACTTTAGCAAAGTCTTTGTATACTTCATCTGCATTTTGTTTATCCTCTAGCTCATCCAGGACCATGTCATAGTGATCCAGTAGTTGAGATAGGCAGGAGCGACCTGCTCTAAACCAATGTTGCCCTCGGTTGTGTAACTAATGGGTGTCTAGATGGGTGGTGATCTTGCTTCTTAGAACCCTATCAAAGATTTTTAAAGAACGTTAGTGCTATTGGTCTGTAAGTCTTTGCAATTGCTTTACTGCCGCCTTTGTAGAGTGGGGCTATGTCTGTTGTTTTTAGTATAACTGTGGGTTGACCCCTGTGTCCATGTTCCTTCTCCATAGAATGCTAAAGGCACGTGACAGGGGCTTCTTGCAGTTCCTGATGAACACGAAGTTCCACAAGTCCGGGCCTGGGGCAGAATGCATGGGCACTCTCCATATCAAGTACACGAAGGCCGTTGAGGCCGCATATCACCTGTTCACCACCAGTCAAGAATTCTTTGACTCCTAAAACAAAGATTTATGTCAATGCTCAGTGTATAGTCACTGAGAGACATACACCATTCCATGTATATGTTCCTATCAGTATCCACCGTAGTATACAATTTGTATGTTATTTCCGGGATAACATACTGTTCGCTTTAAAAAAGCACACATTTTCCCAATATTGCTAAAATTTATATTAGAAATAAAACATGGGAATCAATACTAATTCACGTAATGACCCGTTAAAAGCAACAGAAATAACTGCATGAACCTTCCAAGAATAATTAAAAATTTTAAAATTTTTATTCAATTCTTGAGACTGGTTTTCAAGAAAAGTACGAGTCTTTTTACTAGGAAAGTCACAGATCATTAAAAAAAAAATAACTTCAAGCAAAAGATTGATCAGTTATATGTTTGGTGGTTTAATGGATCGTTTGGATCGTGAGTCCATTCACTTCTGGAAATACAGTCTTGGAAAGAGTCATTAATTTTTTTTTTTTCTTTGGGTTACCTTGAATTGACAGAACACAGCCGATGTGTAAACAAGAAACAACGTAAAACTTATTGTTTATGTACACTTAATTACCAAGAAAGTCTTCTTAATATTATTAAGGAAGATTACCTGTGGGATCCACGAGAATCTGGTTACATTTAAAGAGCCTCTGAATCACTGAGAGAGCAGGCATATAAAGCTCCAGGCTCAGGTATCTCACTGGAGCTGAATGACCACTGGGTATTATTAGCCCTAGGTGCCCCAACCAATGCCCTAGAGCAATGGGAGAAAAAATAACGGATAATAAGAGGAAATTATAATAATGCTTTAAAAGGTGAATTATGAGCTAATAAAACGACTCAGACAAATAAAACCCTGGAGACTTCATGGTCGTCAAAATCTTATAATTACAAAACGATAATAGTGGTTTTGACGGTTAGTTAATTGCGTTTTAAAGCCTGTCGATCACACAAAGATCATTAAGCTGCAAATATCTTGTTCACCACCGGTCAAGAAATTTTAATCCTAAAAATATGAATTAAATTAAACTCCCAGCATATATACACAGCATATATAAACGGTGCGTAACAAGGTTGCATGATGTCAACATGACTGGTTAATATACATAATGAATTGCAATGAAAGTTGTTAGGAAGAAGAGCAGGATTGGAAGAGTCTAAAACAAAGTGCTATTGAAAATGTATGGATAATACAGTTCACTTGGGAGATTCTGATAAGATGCTAATGGTGGTGATGGAATTCTGTATGTATGTAAAAGAAAAAACAAAAGTGAAGAAAAATAGCAGTGTGATAGATGGACAGGTAAAAGTAATGTAAAATCGAATAAGAGATTGGAAGGAAGGTGAGGAAATGAATGTTTTCAGATATTTGTGAGTAGATATTGTAGATGGGTTTGTGAAAGAAGTGAACCACAGAAGCGCCGAGAAAAGAGAACATGGAATAAAAAAAAATATCTGCAGTATGAAGGTAAAAAAGAAGAATGTAGCAGAGCATGTGTGAGGGATGGTCTTTGGAGGCAGTGGAAATGTCATGTTTGAGATGAAGAATTGAGACACTTATGCAACACATGGGAATCTTTATTGAAGAAACGTTTCGCCACACTGATGAAGCCACTGTGTGGCGAAACGTTTCTTCAATAAAGATTCCCATGTGTTGCATAAGTGTCTCAATTCCTCAACTTGTCGGTTTTCAAAACCATTCGTCACATGTTTGAGATAAATATCTGTGGTGAAAATTGTGCAGATAATTCAAAGCATAGAAATCAGAGGATGTAGGTTTCCAAGGGTTTAATAAATAGGGTTAAAGAGGGTTTATTGAGATGCTGGGAGTTTAAGAAAGTGGAGCATCAAAGAATATTCAAAAAATGTGAATAACTTTGATGTGGAAGAAAGGAGAGAAAGCGGTCGTAACAAGAAGGGTTAGAATGAAGGGTAAAGGGATTTTGAGTATAAGGGACTTGAACACCCATCAGCCTTCAGAGAATGTCCTTGATCGAAGTGAATGGAGACAAGCAGTATTTATGAAGAAATTCAGGAAGAAAAACTTTGTAGTTACCATATAATAGTTTCAGAATAGGAAGAGGATTAATATGTATAGCGGACATTTAAGAGACTTTTACTTACACACACACACACACACACACACACACACACACACACACACACATGGAGACCCAGAAACGTGGAGAACTAAGATGATGGAGGTGGTACGGATAAACCCTAAGGCATCAATATATTAGGGACACTACCAAAGACAGAAAGAGAGAGAGAGGGGGGGGAGAGGAGAGGATGAACAAGCAATACTGAACCTCATGTTAACCATGAGTAGTTCGGAGAATGAGGACATCACACAAGAAAGGCCTTTTGGAGCTAGTGATGACGTGGTCCTGAGCTTCGAATACATGGCAGAGTTACAAGTGGAGAAGGAAGCAGGACGAGTAGGACTGGACAAGCTAAACTACAAAAGAGCGGATTATACAGGTATGAGAAATTTCCAGCACGAGGTTCACTGGTAAAGAGAACTGGAGGAAAAATCAATAAATGAAATGATGGAATAAATGACAACAAAATGCAAGGAGGCAGAGGAGAGGTTCGTACCCAAAGGCAACAGAAACAACGTAAAGACCAGAACCAGCTCATGGTTCACTCAAAAGGTGTAGAGAAGCTAAAACTAATTGCGCTAGAGAATGGAAAATGTATATAGAAGACGAAGGACCAACGAAAATAAGTCAGAGACAGAAATAGATATGAAGAGATCAGGGAGGAGGCCAAGCGGCAATACGAAACTGGCATAGCATCGACAGCCAAGTCTGATCTGAAGATGTTTCACAGCCACATTAGGAGGAAAACAACAGTCAAGAACCAGGCAGTCAGGCTGAGGAAGGAAGGAGGGGAGATCACAAGAAACGACAGAGATGTTTGTGAAGAGCTCAACATGAGATTTAAGGAAGTATTTTCAGTGGAAACAGAAAGAACTTCAGAAAGTCGAAATGGTGGGAAACACGAATGAGGCTTCTAAATGAACTAGATACATCAAAGCGGTGGGTTTTCAGAGAGGCAGGAGAGGCGCTGTGTGTACCATTAACAACAATCTCCAATACATCTGTCGAAACACGGCGACTACCTGAGGCGTGGAAGACAGAAAATACAGTTCCAGTTTTTAAGAAAAGAGTCTGACAGACAGCATTAAACTACAGACTAGTGTCGCTGACGTATACAATATTCATAGTCATGGAAATGATCATCAGGAGAAGAGTGGTGGAACACCAATAGAGAAATGAGCTTATACACGACAACCAGCATGTTTCAGGGAAGGGAAATCCTGTGTCACAAACCTAATAGAGTTTTATGATAAGGTGACAAAAGTAAGACAAGAGACGGGGACGGTACATTACATTTTCTTGGACTGTAAAAAGGCTTTCGACACGGTTCCACACAAGAGAGATTAGTGCAAAAACTGGAGAAGGCATGTATAACAGGAAAGGAATTGCAGTGGAACTGAATACCTGACAGGAAGGAAACACGTGATGGCGAAATGACGAGGTGACAGAGTGGGTTCCTGTGACAAGCGGATTTCCACAGGGGTCAGTATAGGGATGGTGCAGTTCCTGGTATATGTGAATGACATGACGGAAGGCATAGATTTAGAAGTGTCCCTTTTTGCAGACGATGTGAAGTTAATGTGAAGAATTTAATCAGATGAGGATCAGGCAGGACTGCAAAGGGATCTGTAAAGCCTGGTCTAGCAACTGGCTTCTGGAGTCTAAAACCACCAAGTACAAAGTAATAAAGGCTGGGGAAGGTCAAAGAAGACTGCAGACAGAGTACAGTCTAGGGCGCCAAAGACTTTAAACCTCGATCAAGGAAAATGATCCCGGGGTGAGTATAATACTGAGCACATCTCCTAAGGCACATATCAACCAGATAACTGCTGCAGCATTTGGGCGCCTGGCCATATGCTGCAGTAAGGAAACGTTTAAGCCTCTGTACAACTGGTAAGTCAGGCCCATATTGGAGTATGCAGCACCAGTATGTAATCCATACCTGGTCAAGGATGTTAAGAAATTAGAGAAAGTTCGTAGGTTTGCAGCAAGACTAGTCCCGGAGCTAAGGGGTATGTCCTACAAAAAGAGGTTAAGGAAAATTGACCGGACGACACTGGAGAACAGGAGGGATAAAGGAGACCTAATAACGACATATAAAATACTGAGAGAAATTGACAAGATGGATACTGACAATATGTCTCAGAGATGTGGCACAGAAACAAGGGGGGTCACAGCTAGAAGTTGAGGAAACAGATGAGTCACTGGGAGGTTAGGAGGTACTTCATCAGTCATAGTTGTCAGGAAGTGGAACAGTCTGGAAAGTGATGCACTGGAGGTAGGATCCATACATAGCTTTAAGAAGAGGTATGATAAATGCTTATGGAGTAGGGAGAGTGGATCTAGTAGTGACTAGTGAATAGGTGCGGCCAGGAGTTATAACTCGAACCATGCAACCACAATTGAACGTACACACACACACACACACACACACACACACACACACACACACACGCACACACACACCAAGTGCAAAGTCATGAAGACTGGGGAAGAGCAAAGAAGACCGCAGACGGAATACAGTCTAGGGGGCCAGAGACTACAAACCACACTCAAGGAAAAGATCTTGGGGTGTGAGTATAACACCAGGCACATCTCCTGAAGAGCACATCAACCAAATAACTGCTGCAGCATATGGGCGCCTGGCAAACCTCAGAACAGCATTCCGACATCTTAATAAGGAATCGTTCAGGACACTGTACACCGTGTACTTTAGGCCATATTGGAATATGCGTCACCAGTTTTGGAACCCACACCTAGCCAAGCTCGTAAAGAAACTAGAGAAAGTGCAAAGGTTTGCAACAAGACTAGTCCCAGAGCTAAGTGGTATGTCCTACGAGGAGAGGTTAAGGGAAATCAACCTGACAACACTGGAGGACAGGAGAGAGAGAGGGGACATGATAACGACATACAAAATACTGAGAGGAATTGATAAGGTGGACAAAGACAGGTTGTTCCAGAGATTGGACACAGCAACAAGGGGACACAGTTGGAAGTTGAAGACACAGATGAATCACAGGGATGTTAGGAAGTATTTCTTCAGCCACAGAGTAATCAGGAAGTGGAATAGTTTGGGAAGCGATGTAGTGGAGGCAGGATCCATACATAGCTTTAAGCAGAGGTATGATAAAGCTCACGGTTCAGGGAATGTGACCTAGTAGCGACCAGTGAAGAGGCGGGGCCAGGAGCTTGGACTCGACCCCTGCAACCTCAACTAGGTGAGTACAACTAGGTGAGTACACACTCTCTCACAAACGCACGTGCACACACGCAGACGCGCGAGCACACACGCGCACACGCTACTTGATATACGAAATAAATATTTTAAGACAGTGGCAGATCTGATTGGCTTAAGATTCTCGGCTCGTCATCTGCTATTGATCACTTATATATGTAATATATGTAATATATGTAATATTAAATGAATATAAAGCTGTATCACCTAGTAAATCCACTTCAATATTATAAAATATTATATAAATTAGAAGAATATCATTTACGGATGTTTATTACTTGAATTCATTGTCTCGGTGTATATATATATAATACATATAAAAACAAGACCAGGACAGAAACATGGTAAACTAGAGAGAAACAAAGACAAAAAACATGAAAAACAAATTAAAAATACCAACCATGCAGCGCCCCGTGAAGCATAGAGGGCGATGGAATACCCAAAATATGAGTGCCTGTTCTGACTCCTGGAAGCTGGTTCCCACATGACGTAACTGGCTTTAGTGTCCAGGTTGAAGGACCATGTGGGGGTAACTTCATACCCAAGTAGCACAGTCAGTGCCCACACCACGCCCACAACCTCCACCACTCTCCTCACACACATCCCACAAAAATATTGATCAACTTCTTCCGTATTCTGAAGAAGAAAATATATTTTTATATCTTTACTAGACCTTGTGACAAATTTATTCATAAATTATGCATAAATTATGCTAGGAGCACCTCTGGGAAGCAATGCCATTGACACAATTCTCAGGAAGAAATTGGAAGAGATAAGGAGAATGGAAAAACGAATAGGCAATCTGGACACCCACGATGCCTTGTACCTTCTCACAAAGTGCTTGAGTCTGCCCAGGTTGACACATTTCCTAAGATATTCACCTTCATATGATAACCCTATACTCCATACCCCCGGCCGGGATTGAACCCGCGGTCATAGTCCCAAAACTCCAGCCCGTCGCGTTAGCCACTAGACCAGCTAGCCACAATAAGATTCATCCAACTAGGTATATTTCTACACCATAGGAAAGTTAGCACGCGAAGGGCTGGAGTTTTGAGACTCTATGACCGCGGGTTCAATCCCGGCCGGGGGTATGGTTTATTTGCAATCGTGTCATTACGATTTCTTGAGTCATGTTGACGGCAGTGAAGGGACTTGAGCTAGAGTTCGTCACGGCCACGCTAGCTGGAGATTCGTCTGTAAAAACTTGCATTTGTGGTCACAGAGGTGCCTGTGCTAACTTTCCTATGGTGTAGAAATATACCTAGTTGGATGAATCTTATTGTGGCTAGCTGGTCTAGTGGCTAACGCGACGGGCTGGAGTTTTGAGACTCTATGACCGCGGGTTCAATCCCGGCCGGGGGTATGGTTTATTTGCAATCGTGTCATTACGATTTCTTGAGTCATAACCCTATACTGCACGAATATGACAGTATTCTGAGGCAGATTTTTACGAAAGTACTTAATCTTACTCTAAAAGACGGGCAGTGGAACCAAGCTACACTTCCAGTCAGACTAGGAGGCACTGGTGTCCGCAAGTCATCACAGATTGCGCTACCTGCTTTTCTGTCCTCATGTATTGCATCCAAAGGGCTTGTAGCAGCGATTCTCAATGAACATCTTAGGGACAAGATTGGAGTCCAGGACCAAAAGTTCATTGACGGAGCCATGATCTGGGATAATCTAACGGGCTCTGAAACCAGACCTGCTCCCCCCAACAACTACAAACAATCGCACTGGGATGGTCCAATAGTGGAAAATATAGCCTCAACAATGCTTCAGAGTGTGTCAGGGAAGGATAGAGCCCGCCTCCTGGCAGTGAGAGCCCCTCATGCAGGGGATTTTCTGTTGACTGTTCCCAACTCCAGCCTTGGCACACGCCTCGACCCACAGACCATCCGCATCGGTGTTGCCCTTCGATTTGCCGCCCCTATTCTCGCCGAACACAGGTGTATTTGTGGCAGTGAAGCAGCAGACCGATTCGGGTACCACGGTCTTGTGTGCCGTAAATCCGAGGAAAAGATTGCAGGACATGAGGTTAATAGCAGTATTAAGAGGAGCCTCACAACAGCCGGATGCCCAGCAGTAAGGGAGCCACCCCAGCTATGCAGATCTGACGGCAGCCAGAAGCGCCCATATGGTATCACCCTTCAAGCCTGGACAGATGGGAAGCAGGTGGTGTGGGACTATACATGTGCATCTACCTTGGCTGATACCTATCTGCAATACACCAGGGAGGAAGGAGGGGCTGCCGCCATCTTCAGGGAGTTCCAAAAGTATAGAAAATATGGAAAACTTGCCCATCATTATATGTTTGTTACCATAGGCTCAGAGACCGTTGGCTCATGGGGAAAGAATGTATCTAAGTTCCTTAAGGAGCTGGGAAAAAAACTCATCAGGGTAACTAGGGATCCCAGGGCAGCTAGTTTTCTGTTCCAGCGGCTCAGTGCGGCTGTTCAAAGGGGTAATGCCTGCTGTATTTTGGGCACACGCCCCAGCTCTGAGGAGCTGGATGAGATTTTCGCCTTATAATCGGTGATACACACGTAACAACATGTACCGTATATGCCACCTTTATATCAACAATGTATCTCTTAAATCTTTTGTACCATATTATGTAATAAAATATTCCTATTGGTAAAAAAAAAAACGAAAGGATGAGGTTGTAGGGGAAGTGGAATATTCAAACGGCTTCAAGAAGACATCCAAATATTCTTCCTTGAAGCCTTTTATCCACTTCTCCGAGGCTATGGATCCCACACTTTACACCAGAGGTGGACCCCATCCTACATTATATATATATATATATATATATATATATATATTATATATATATATATATATTATTATATTTATATATATATATATATATATATATATATATATATATATATAGGGGGTCCACCTCTGGTGTAAATTGTGGGACCCATAGCCTCGGAGAAGTGGATAAAAGGCTTCAAGGAAGAATATTTGGACGTCTTCCTGAAGCCGTTTGAATATTCCACTTCCCCTACCACCCCATCTTATTATTCTTTTTTACCAATAGGTATATTTTATTATATAATATGGTACAGAAGGTTTAAGAGATACATTGTTGATATAAAGATGGCATATACAGTACATGAGGTGAGAGATATTCATGTCTAGTACATATTGTTACGTGTTTGTCACTGATAATGCGAAAATCTCATCCAGCTCCTCAGACCTGGGGCGTGTGCCCAAAATACAGCAGGCATTACCACTCTGAACAGCCGCACTGAGTCGCTGGGCATCTGGCTGTTGTGAGGCTCCTCTTGATAATGTTATTAACCTCATGTCTTGCAGTCTTTCCCTCGGATTTACGGCACACAAGACCATGGTACCCGAATCAGTCTGCTGCTTCACTGCCACAAATACACCTGCGTTCGGCGAGAATAGGGGCGGCAATTCGAAGGGCAACACCGATGCGGATGATTTGTAGGTCGAGGCGTGTGCCATAATATGGTACAGAAGGTTTAAGAGATACATTGTTGATATAAAGATGGCATATACAGTACATGAGGTGTGAGAGATTCATGTCTAGTACATGTTGTTACGTATTTGTCACTGATAATGCGAAAATCTCATCTAGCTCTTCAGACCTGGGGCGTGTGCCCAAAATACAGCAGGCATTACCACTCTGAACAGCCGCACTGAGTCGTTGGAGCAGAAAAGTAGCTGCCCTGGGATTCCTAGTTACCCTGATTAGTCTTTTGCCTAGCTCCTTAAGGAGCTTAGAAGCACGCTTTTCCCATGAACCAAGGGTCTCTGAGCCTATGGTAACAAACATATAATTATGGGCAAGTTCTCTATATTTTCTAGACTTTTGGGATTCCCTGAAGCTGGCTAGATGCACATGTGTAATCCCACACCACCTGCTTACCGTCTGCCCAGGCTTGAAGGGTGATACCATCTAGACGCTTCTGGCTGCCATCAGATCTGCATAGTTGGGGTGGCTCCCTTACTGCTGGACATCTGGCTGTTGTGAGGCTCCTCATGATAATGTTTTTAACCTCCTCATGTCTTGCAATCTTTCCCTCGGATTTACGGCACACAAGACCATGGTACCCGAATCGGTCTGCTGCTTCACTGCCACAAATATACCTGTGTTCGGCGAGAATAGGGGCGGAAAGTCGAAGGGCAACACCAATGAGGATGATCTGTGGGTCGAGGCGTGTGCCAAAGCTGGAGTAGGGAACAGCCAAGAGAAAGTCCCCTGCATGAGGAGATTTCACTGCCAGGAGGCGGGCTCTATCCTTCTCTGACACACTCTGAAGCATTGTTGAGGCTATATTCTAAACCACTGGGCCATCCCAGTGCGACTGTTTGTAGTTGTGGGGGAGCAGGTCAGGTTTCAGAGCCTGTTAGATTATCCCAGATCATGGCTCCGTCAATGAGCTTTTGGTCCTGGACTCCAATCTTGCCCCTAAGATGTTCAGGGAGAACCGCTGTTACAAGCCCTTTGGATGCAACAAATGAGGACAGAAAAGCAGGTACCGCAATCTGCGATGACTTGTGGACACCATTGCCTCCTAGTCTGACTGGAAGTGTAGCTTGGTTCCACTGCCCGTCTTTTAGAGTAAGGTTAAGTACTTCCGTAAAAATCTGCCTCAGGATACTGTCATATTTGTGCAGTATAGGGCTATACGAAAGTGCACATCTTAGGAAATATGTCAACCTGGGCAGACTCGAGCACTTTGTGAGAAGGTACAAGGCATCGTGTTTGTCAAGACTGCCTATTCGTTGTTCCATTCTACTCAACTCTTCTGTCTTCCTGAGAATTATGTCAATGGCATCGCTTCTCAGAGGTGCTCCAAGCAAGACACTATTTGTGGGGGCAATGACTGATGCTCCTGGTAGTTTTGATCTCCACTGCATTTATCACTTGTTGACTGACTGAGTTGATTTCACATTTGGATGGATTCAGGATGAGACCCATTTCCTGTCCCCGTGTCATGCCCTGGTAAGATCATTTTAGGGTGAACCCTTTTGTACCTGCAGTGTGCCATCATCCGGGAAACCAATGTTTAGCTCTTTGGGTCGCCCTGACTGTTTTCCCCCAAAAACCGCTATACATTTTAATGGGCAAGAGGATCAAATCCCCTTGCTGGAAAACACTCTATAATGTGATTTATGCCCCCAGCAGGAGCAAGGGATTCCTAAGCTTTATACCCACCCTGAAAAAAAAAGGGAAAGACCGGGGAAATTCTCTGCCCCGTTCAAATACCACGCCCACTTTTCAGGAGAATCACTGCTTTCCCTTTGAAGTCAAATTTTTTTAACCACTGCCTTGTCCCACGGGCAGATTGTTGTTAATATCCCCTTTTGTTGCATAAACCATTGCTTAACTTTCCTTGAGAGCCGAACTTGAGGGGAGAAAAGGAGGGGAGAAAAGAGGAAAGAGAGAGAGAGGGGAAGAGAGAGAGAGAGGGGAAAATTTTTTTTTCAAATTTTTAAAAAAATAAAAAATAAAAAAAATTCAAAGTAATAATTAAAATAGTAATACTTTTAAAATAGAAAATTTAAAATACTAATTTTAATGAATTCAAACCTTTTATTTTTTGGATGTTACTTTTGTTTTTTTCCTTAATTAAGTAGCGTAGATAAACTGTTGGGTT